AGTGCATTGTCGAGAACTCATTCCTGGTAGTCAGTGAGGAGCCAGCACTTTGACAGAGGCTGAGGTCAGACTCTGTGAGTAGAGAGCTGTGCTCTAGTGGGAATTAGCTCTGCAAAGAGTTCATTACCAGTGGATGTCTTCCTTTCTTGGTGGGTTTCACTTCCCTTTGCGGCTTGTTGTCTGTGGGGGCTTGGTGACTGTGGGGACGGGTGACACTCTGGACAGTCTCCCAGCAAAGCCCTTGCATTGCTCCATGTGTGCTGGCCACTGCTTATTGGGTGCCAGGGCTGATTTCCTCCAAAGGCCAGGAGGGCTCAGAATCTCCAGATGCACCTGGTAGGGTCACATCGTCTTAAATTCCCTCTTTGCTGATTGACGGCAGAGATGACCAGAGAGAGGCCCTGGCTCAAATGTGCTGGTGTGTGTGAAGGCTGCAGAGCTGATATCAGTTAGGCATTGTAGGGGCCAGATGTGTAATTTGGGGGAAGTTTGATAAAGGGACTATTTGCAAAAATGTAGGGGTGTGGAGGATCTAAGGCACAGTACAGTCATTTCACAGGCCAGTTACCAGGGAAAGGGGTGTGCTGCTGCCCCCAGGGCTGTCGGGGCAGAGGGCAGAGATGGAGGGTATGGGGGGCGGGCACTGGACAGGGATGAGCCTCCAAGTGGGCTGAGGGACAGTGAGCTCCTGGCCTTGCCGTCCTCTCTGATGGTCTCTTACCTTCTACTGCTGCTCCCCATTGGCTGAGCACATGGAAAACTGGAGAGCTTGGGGCCTTGCTGATGCAGCAGGGGTGGGGGTGGGGGAGATGGGGATTGATCAGCAAAGGGAAGAGCCCCTGGCTGGGGCTCCCCTTTCCTCGCCTTCTCTGCCTGCCTGTCCAGAAGAGGACCCTGACCCCCTCACAGACAAGTCCTCAGTGACTGATGATCCAGTCTCCAAGCATGACTACTTCCAGATAAAAAATCAATAAAAAAATCCTAGATCAGATCTGTGAAAATGAAGTAACCCTTATTAAAATTTGAGATACCAAAGAGAGATTGAATAAGGTCATTTAAAAATCTGTTTTATTGGGCCGGCCTGGTGGCACACTGCTACAGTGCGCCGCTTGGGAAGTGCGGCGGTGCTCCCGCNAAAAAAAAAATCTGTTTTATTGTGAAAAATTACAAACGTGTACAAACAGGGAGAACAGCGAGATGGCCATCATCAGCTTCAATGATGACCGGCCCACCAGTCTGCACCCCCACCCTCCACCTGCCACATGGATCGTTTTGAGGCAAACCTGTCTCTGGCTCTAATCTTGTCCCCAGTAATCTCAAGCCAATCTGAACTCCGTTGCAGTAGCTGGACCCCACACACTCACAGTGGCAGAAATTCTCAAAGGGCAAATATTGTTTTGTGGGGCAAAAAGTCTGAGCTGTTACATTGATCGGTGGCTCTGCACAGGGCTATAGTCCTTTAACAAATGTCCTGTATCTCTGCAGTTCTGAAATTTCATGGGGGCAGGGGAGGTGATTAGGACAAAAATAACTAAAATAGCTCTTCAGAGGAGCCACAAAGAAAGAAATCGTTGAGAAACATGGACCTAGGATGAGCTTTCTTATCAGTTTATGTATTTATTTATTTTAAATTGTGTGTCTTATGCCACGTGTGTCGTCTGGATCTGTGGCTCAGNATGTGTGGAGAGTATGATTGTGCCAGATAAAGCACACTTGGTGAAATGGGAGGTCTGGGAGTGCAAGTGAAGACTACAAATGTTGGTAGTACTATTTTCCGATAGATTTTCTTTTTTTTAAAATTATTATTATTTTTTTTTTCCCGATAGATTTTCTATAGGTTTGATTGTTTCATAGTGCGAATGTGGGGATCCTGGCCCAAGCAGAACCTGGTCAGAGCGTGTCAGTGCTGATGGGTGCCAACACCACCCTGTACTTGTCTCACTTGCGTGAGCACTTAGTCACTACACAGTTACGCTCATTGGTCACGCTCATTGGTCACACTAATCGGTCACGCTCGTTGGTCACAAGATGCAAGGTCCCTTTGTGCCATATTTCCAGTGCATTGTCGAGAACTCATTCCTGGTAGTCAGTGAGGAGCCAGCACTTTGACAGAGGCTGAGGTCAGACTCTGTGAGTAGAGAGCTGTGCTCTAGTGGGAATTAGCTCTGCAAAGAGTTCATTACCAGTGGATGTCTTCCTTTCTTGGTGGGTTTCACTTCCCTTTGCGGCTTGCTGTCTGTGGGGGCTTGGTGACTGTGGGGACGGGTGACACTCTGGACAGTCTCCCAGCAAAGNCAAAGAAAGAAATCGTTGAGAAACATGGACCTAGGATGAGCTTTCTTATCAGTTTATGTATGTATTTATTTATTTTAAATTGTGTGTCTTATTCCACGTGTGTCGTCTGGATCTGTGGCTCAGGTCAATGGCATTTTCACGTGGAGAGTAGTCAGACAGAGTGATCAGATTCGCTTTTATTCTCAGGCAGGACAAATTGATGCTGCATGTCACCCCAGACACCATGCGCTGGTGATGTTCTGTAGGCCACAGCTTCTGCAGGAACAGAGCAATAATTCTGCACGGTGCTATCTCTGTAAATGTTTCATGTTCACAACTCCAGGAATAATTCTGCATGCTTCTCAGAGGCCTGCTCTTTTTCAGTGACTTGTGGGAGGAGACTTTGTGCGGAGGTGGGGGTAGGGGGCGTCCCACGTGGGCCACACACTCCATCCCCGGCAGGGCCATGAACTTGGTCCTCACATCCAGTCACTAGAAGAAAACAGTTGAGGGAGGGAAAAGATGGCGACCCAGCATCTCAGGTCTTCCCATGTGGCTGTCAGAAATTCAAATTCACGCAGTGTGATTGCCTATTGTGGGCTGAGCAGGGATGGGATGAGGGTCAGGCAAACCGGCACCAGGCACCAAGGACACAAAATGAAAGTGACGCTCACCCTTGGGGTCATCCAGTTGCCGCACTCACCAGACCTCCTTAAATCTTGCACCCAGAGGCCTTACTTGCCTCACCCTAGTCCTGGCCGTGAATGTCATCTCAACCTCATAACTCTGTGAGACAAGTACCACCGACAGATAGCAGTTGGGCTTCTTTTGATTGGATTGTCAGTGACAGAAAACCCAGCTTACACAGGTTTATGCAAAAGGGAAATTTATTGGGTCATGTAAGCTGAAAGCTCCCCAGGTGGCTGCTTCAGGAGCAGCTTGATCCAGCATCCAGCTGATATCACTAGACTCCATCTCAGCTCTTCCTTGGGTGGGCTCCCTTCTCTGCCAGTCCCTCCCCTCACAAGTGGACATAGGGCTGATGTTCAGCAGGGAGAAGTGAGAATCCTTGACCCAGCCTTTTCCACCTGAACTTTGTTGCATCTCCTTGGATTTTACTGGATTGTGTGTCATCCCTGAAAAGTCACCATGGCCTGAGGAGTGCAGTCACTGACTGCTTCAGGCCTGGAGACCAGGGTTTACTCCTGAGCCAAGGACAGAGTCACCTCCAAGTGTGTGGGCTGCAAGTGGGGTAGGGGGTGGTCACCTGCAGGGAGACTGAGGTCATTGTCACGAAAAAAGTGAATGAACGCTGGTGGCAAAATAACAGATGTCCACCACACCATTATTTACCATGCCATTTTATAATTAGAGAAGTTAATGTTCAGACAGTGTAAGTGACCTGCCCAAGGTCGCACAGCTGACTGAGTGAAATCACCAAAATTCAAACCCCATTGTTTTGACTGTTTGTGTTCCTCTCCACTCCATGGGCCATCTCTTCTTATACACTCTCTGAGGTCAAGGGTCCCATCTCGGCTCTTGGTGCTGACAAGGAATTTTAAGGAGAGCAGGTATTGAAGGATAGAATTCAAGTGACAGAATTAAATACTGAATAAGAGAATTCATCTACAGGTGCTGGCCTCAAGCTTTAGAGAGCAGCAGGTACTGGACGATGGAAATCAAACTTCCATCCAAAATAGATTTCGGCCTCAAAAATTCCCGGTTCAACATTAGATTCCCAGCCCAAGCCCTAGCTGTGTGCCCCTCCCCTTTACTTTCCATTTTGTCATGCGTTTCCATTTCTTTCCAAGGATCACTGAGGCAGCAAGTTACAAAGACTGCCTGCTGTTCGCCACCAGCTCCCTGATTTCCCTGGAGGTCTCCCCGCCACCGACCCTCGCCCAGAACCTGTCGGGCTTTCCTCTCGTCACCGTCCACCTCAGGCACAAATTGGTGAGTTAAAGCGGATTCATCCGTGTCTGTTCTTGGATACAGTTTTGCACTGAGGAATATTTGGTTGTCTGTGATTTTGTAAAGAATCTTAGATGGTGTCGGTGCTGGCTAAAATTGGTATTTCCTGTGCCTGGAGTCCCTGTTCTTGTCACTTTGTTTTGACCTGCAGCGGGAAGCTGTGGGTGGCACTCAGGGGTGAAGGGCCTCAAGACCAAGGCAGCTCCCTCAGACACAGGGGCAGCTCTCAGGGCATTTCTCCTGATGGGTAATAAATGTCCTTTTTGGAGGAGGGGGATAAGATGGCTTTTCTCAGCCACATTGTATAAAATGATGAGGAACTTCTCTGTGTCTGAGAGAAACACTTGAGAGCTTCGCAGAAACCGTTTTTATGCTGCAGGTTTTGAGCGGTGAGCTATCTGTCCTGGTGTGTCGTGATCAAAATCCTCTCACATTTAATTGGTCTTCATCAGTGGATATGGATGACAAAGCATTGGGGATACAGATGTCCTTTACACACATGCATCTTTTCCCACATCAGGTTCATGTCCTGACACACGGTGTTGGTGCAGCCCTCATATGTCATGATTTTTAAAGGAATTAATTAAAGAACTCAATATGTTTTTGGTCATTTGAAATAAAGCTACAGGCGTTTCCTGGCAGGATTTTCTGTTTCATTCTATCTCCCCTGTTGCATTCCTCACCAACATTAACAGAAGGCCTCAATGTGCCAGACACCTCACCAGGTGCCCCTGGGCTCCTGCACGTTTGACTCTGTTTCCCTTTCCACGTCAGAAGAGCCCACATGTGGGCTGCTGCAGGAGCTGCGCTAAGTCAGGAGACGGGCTGGCTCCTTTTGCTGCAGCTTCCTGCCTCAACCTCCCCTGCTGTCCTGCCCATGACACTGTGGCCTTTTCTTCATTCCCTCAGAAGCCAGCTCCTCCCATCACCCACACTTCCTGGCTGTGACCTAATCTGGGACTCTTAGCTCATGGGTGCCACTGAACCTAACTTCGTCATCCGCCTGCTCGTCATCCCTCCTTTCTCAGGCTAGTTCTTCTTTGAGAACCTTTCCTTCCCGTCCACCTCCCTCGCTGTCATGCACCCCTGTGCAGTCCCTCCTCTCCCCGGTCCCTTCTCATCCCTGGCAGACACAGCCGCACCCCAAGGAGGCCCTCGCCACCCTCTGCTCTTCGGAACTTGCGCCCCCACCCCCTTCTGCAAGCCGCTTCGAGTGGACTCGCGCTTTCTCCACTTTCTTAACAACGTTTTTAAACTGCAGAAGTGTTCTCAGAAGTCCAGAGACATCTGGGCCTCTGAGTCCAGGGGCTCTTTCCAGTCTCCATTACCTCCCATGTGTTGCCATCCATGCCCCCTGCCCCTGTGGCTTTCAGAACTCACATGTCTGCTGTCCCGGGCCACCCGCTCCCTGCCGCCTGTCTCCTCTGCAGCACTGCCTCAGTTTCTCTGGGTGCACGCGTTCCTTTAGCTCCCTGTGAATGTCTGCTCCTCTCAATGCACAGAAGCGAAGCCCACGTCTTCCCCGCAGCCTCCCTCACCCTCTGGTGCGTCCAGCCTTCGTGACTCCAGACACCCGATGGACATATCTCCCCCACACCTGCTCCCCCTGTGCCTCTGTTTCCTCACCATGGCACTGCTCTTCTCCCATCTGTGACCTTGGGGCCATCGTGTGCTCCTTGTCCTTGCACCCTATACATGGCGAGCTGTGACCTCACCTACCCCTTCCCTGTCCCGCTGGTGCCCACGGCTCCATGACTTCCTGCCTGGGCCACAGAGTGTTCCCCGTTCTCTCTGCCCCACTCTCCCCCAGTCCCCGTATCTATCTTTGAGAAACACAGACCAGGCGATGCTACTTGCCTGTGTAGAACCCTTCAGTGACTCAGCTGTCCCTGCAGGAAATTTATGCTCTGGGCCTAATAGTCAGATCTCTTATGCACTCTTCCCATCCAGCTTTCTGACAGAGCCTTTTGCTCTACAGAATTGGAAATACTCGCTGTCCTTTGAAGTCCCACGCAGGGAGTGATGGTGTCCTCCTCCCAGCCCTCTCCGACCTTCCCAGCAGGACCCCTCCTTCCTCTGCACTGTTGCCACTTATCAGTGCGAGCCGAGCACTGTGTGCTGTACTCATGCCAGTCCCTAGTCTCTTGAAGTAGCCTGCGGGTTTCTTGAGAGGCTGCCCTGACTCTGGTTTGGAATCATTTATTCCCGCAATGCCTGCGTGGAGCTTTGGCACCGAGTCGTGCCGTAGTACATATTTGCTGGATGAGTGCTGCACTGAGTTAACAGGACTCGTCTAGAGGCTCGTCTGAGCACTGTGTTGTTTGCTTGTGTGTCTGTGTCTCCTCTTGTTACGGAGAAAACCCTCACCCGGGCCACGGGCTCCTCTCCCTCTGCCCCAACTGTGAGGACACCGCTGACTCACCTAGGATGAGCTCTGCAGGCTCAGCTGCACCACGGCGTGCCGCAGAGATGTTTTTAGAGCTTCTAACACTAAGGATATTTTAATGCTGTGTTGAGATATTTCAAGTCTGTAATCAAGAGGATATAAAAGCAGAGAAGGCTTGTTTTGAAAGACTCTGGGACCTCTGCGTGTTTTGAGGTTGAGGTTGCCTTGTGAAGGGGGGAGCCCGTGAACCACAGCAGACGCCCTGGAGACCAGGGCTGAGGGACACAGAAGAGCAGGAGAGGTAGGGACCAAGCCCTGCTGGAGAGGCAGGGACGGAGTGGAGGGGGAGGAAGAGCAGCCCTGCTCAAACGCCCAGTGAGGTCACACGTACACATACGTACACACATGTGTGCACACACATGGTACACACACACACTTGCAGGTACCCAGACTCAGTACACATATACACACACACCCCATCCTTGTCAGAGAACTTGAAAGTGCAAAAGGATTTTATTTTGTGGATCATGACCCCTCCCCCTGATGAGCAGGGTCGTCTCCAGGCACTTGGCCCTCAGGGACCCCATTCCTCTGTCCTCCCACACATGCAGTCCCGTCCCCTGCAAAATGGGCCCGTCCCATGTTCCCATCCATGGAGCCCTTCTCTTGCCCAGCCCCCACAGAGTAAACAGAGTCATGCACTCATTGTTAGATTGCGGGGCTGACCTTTGCATCCTCCTGGTGCCTGCATGATTAAGTCCCGCCATGTCCCTGCTGTGGAGTGCTCTCCCTGCAATGCTGCAGCCTGATCCATTTTAGAGGAATGACTCATTCTAGAGTTTTCTCAAAGAGATGGTTAGCCAGTGCAATGGAAGCAGGGGCTATGCCCTACCGGCTGCCTGCCATTGGTGTCCTGTCCAGCCGGTTTCTGTTATGACTCTGTCAGCTTATTCCATGCCACAATATCCCTGTGTTAAAACAAAACAAAGAGACAAAACAACTCACTGATTTCTTAGGAAACCAACATGGGTCAGTTACTACTAGTTTAAAAAAAAAAAAAAAGCCCACTTCTCTGAGTTTGAGGGGCTTTGCTTCATGGCAGTAAATGCATTCTAACAGCAGTGGCACTACTAAGTCAGCTCCGTTGTGATGGATGTTTGCATTCTCATGGAACTTCTTTCTCAGAGAACCGTCTTCTCATTTCTACCATCATTTATCACTGAACTTAGTCAGCTTCTTTCGAGACAGATGAAAGTAACTGGTCAGGCAGCATGTGGCACCTGCTCTGGAAGTTTCTGAGTCAGACTGTGGTGATGGGCTGAGCCTGGGCCAGGGCGTGGGCACCTTGGAGTGCAGTATGCAAGTGCCACAGCCATGTTTCGATTCTTTACATTCTTTGCTCCCCAGACTATCAGGTGGTCCAGACTCAGACCCTGTCCTCTGGCTGACCCCAGCTGTGGCCCCATTGCAGCCACTGGTGGTCTCTGCTGGTGGTTCCTGCTGCTCCTCTAAGGGCCCCTGATGGCTCCCTCCACTCCAGGGAGCCAGTTGGGCTGACACCTTCCACAGCTCAGGGCAGCGGGGTGGCCGGCTGGAGGCCTTGCCCTTATCCAGTGGAGGGTCTGGGACAGACAGCAGACTCAGCACCCAGCAACATCATCGGCGTGGCTGCTGGGTTTGGCTGTCTCTCCTGCATGTGGCAGAGGTTTCTGACATGAAGATGGATCAGAAATTGCAGTGTTTTATTCTGTTAAAATTGCTCATGGCATTCAATCAGAATCTTAACTTTCGAATCAAGAGTGAAATGCAACCTTTCCCAGGTCAATGACAACGAAACGTTTTTCATCAGAAGGAAGCAAGGCCCGAGAGAAGTAGATTCTCTGAAAATTCTGAGAATTAGAAAACCAAAAATAAGTATCTCAGAGAGCTAAATGCTGTCAGTTTTGATTGCTGTTCTCTAAAATTCGCTCATCAAACTGCTGCAGCTCCCCTGGCTATCAATCCCAGAGCCTGTCATGAAGTTTGGAAGGGATGGAGTCTGATGAGGATGCTTCAGGGAGATGTTCAGCAGCAGGACTCGAGAACTGGCCAGACCTAGAGGTCTCTGCTCATGCTGACATCATCCCTAGGAGGACCAAGTCCAGCAGGGTGTAGCCCCTGAACTGTGATAGCCATGGTCAGGGCACAGTGCCTGGCAGAGGCGCAGCAATGCCCTGACCCACTCTGACTGCCCACTTGCCTCCTGGGTGCTTCGGGGGAGCTGCCGCTGCAGCCAACTTGGCCACTGGACCCTCAGGGCTCTGTTCAGAGGTTTGGGGTGGCTTAGCTTCCATCAGACCTGGAGAGAAGGGACTGGAGTCGTGTGTGTGAGGTCTCTTAAGAGTTAGGGCATGGTGTCTAGGTGGGAATAAGACGTCGACGTCACAGAACTACCGTGGGCAGACACAGGGTGTGACTTATCCCTCAGGTCTGAGTCGTGTGTGTGAGGTCTCTTAAGAGTTAGGGCATGGTGTCTAGGTGGGAATAAGACGTCTACGTCACAGAACTACCGTGGGCAGACACAGGGTGTGACTTATCCCTCAGGTCTTTACTCATT